TAAGCTTTCATCCTGATTGGATAATGGTTTGCATTGACTGGTTGAGAGCTGTGGAAACACAAATATGAGGCAAAAAATTTGGATACTGAAATAAATATTTACAAACACACTAGACTATAAACTATGAGGTGATGAGGGTCTGTGTTCGTCACATTCGTGATGGTTATGTCCTCAGCATTCAGGCACAGTTGAGTGCTCCAACTAGTGGGTATGTGCTGAACGTTCCCAATCCATAACTACTTACAGACTCTTAATTTTTGTGTTAGACACTGTGTGCATCGTATAATCAGAATGACCAAGATAGACAAATCTCCGCCCTCATGCAGCTTATATCCTAGTGGCAGAGAGAGATCAGTGACAATGAAGAAAAATGATGCAGTGAAATGGGACTGGGGAGGAGGGGGAGGGCTCAGAATGTTTCCATTGTAAACAGTGTGCTCTGAGAAGTCTCCTGAAGAGGGCTCAGAGTGATTATCAACATTTACTAGATACAGAGTAATAAACGATTGAGATACACAGAGCCACGGTGTCAGGGCTCCAGAGCAATTACTTCCAATTCAGCAGGTAAGTTCTGTCTCTGTATTTTTATTTGGGGTTGCTTATACGAGTCTTGGAGGGGAAAGTGACTAAAGCATTAATTTTTAGATTAGAAAGAATTGGTGAATTTGCAAAATAAGAGGTCTTTGAACGAATAGTTTACACAGTGAGAGAACAGCTTGGTGGTGAGCTTGGCTGGACTGTTAATTGCCTAAGTATTTTGTGTATTTCTGACTCCCTACCTCTTCTGCAGCCAACCCGGCCAGGGAAAGTCGTTAAGTCCTGTTGAATGTTCACATCCTGCAGGCAACTACAAACTATGGCTCACGAGATGGCTTAACAACAAATTACTGAAAACATTTAAAAGTGCAGCACGGAGTTCAAGGGGGAGAAACTGCTCTTTGCAGGAACAAAACATTCAAATGATGAAGATTCTCTAGATACGGAATTAATGCAGATTTCCTTCCTGTTTCGTTTATTTTGAAAAATCCTCTTCCAGTATCTAACATCTAGTAGGCGTTCACTGTGTGTTGTCCCCCATCCCACACCGCCTGCCTGAAGGGGGGAAAAATCATGTTGTTTGGAGGTTTTGTTTTGTTTTCTTAGCCAAGTACTTAAATCACCACGGTTTCATAAGTACCTTTTGATGGGTTTCATTGTTTTGTTTATTTTGCTTTAGTCAGTGCAGAAACCCTCAAATTTCCTTCTATAACAAACTTTTTTTTTTTCCATCTGACCTGTCTGAGGGAGGCGGTCTGCAGACGGACCTCGCAGCCGGGTTGGTTTTTACACGGGCTATGACTTACCCACACAGAACTCACGGCCTCTTCTAAGAACCAATGTTCAAGCTAAGAGAATAAATGCAAGTGCTCGCTCACCTTTCGAAAAACATGCTCTTGGTATGTTCGCCCATATCCATCGGGTTCTCAGTAATGAATAGACGGTGGCATCGGGTTTTCACCTACAGAAGTTGTGCCTTACATTTCTGGAAAGTTATTTCCTCGTCTGACGTTTTATTTTCCTGGCTTATTCAGTCTTTAACATGCCACACAAAACCTCCTCTCCTAGCGACTGTCTCCCTTTGTAAAATGGCTGAGGAGTGGAACACTTGGCCTGGGAGGGTCCTCTGAGGCTTCCTCTCCCCTCTCCCCCGCTATTCCTTTCTGTACACTCACAGCCCAGGCCGCCGGCTTCTGAGCTGAAAGATCCCGCGGTGGCGAGGAGGGGACGGGGTCCCGTTGGCGACAGGCTCCTGCGGGCGGCGACGAGCCCGCCAGAGTGAACGGGGGCGCCGGGGTCAGAGCCCTCGAGGTTGGGGGCCTTGGGCGGAGCCGCGCGACCGCTCAACCTGAGCGCCCTGCTCCCCCGTCCCCTCCACGGGGACAGAGTCGCCCAATCTGTCACGACCCCACGGAGATCGTGCTCTTGCGGTGCCATCTCCGCGACCGAGCCCGTCGCGGGGCGGACGCCGGCGAGCGGAGCTGGCGAGAGAAAAGCCGGGCCCGGGGCGGAGAGGGAACGAGGGGCCGGGAGCCGGGGGATTTCCTCCTGTGCTTCCCCCTCCAACGGGAGCGGAAAATGTGATTTGCTGTGCATTCCAGGCGCGGTTCCCTGGGGTGACCTCTCCCAGCCGGCCCGGGCGGGGGAGCAGACAAAGAGGCGAGGCGGGCGGAGAAGGG